CGGGGGGGCCGTTGGGGAGGGGGGGGGGGGCGGGACGGCCCCGGGGGCGGGAGCCCTGCGGCAGCGGGGGGGTGGAGGGGAGGTTTGGGCTCCTGGGCCGCCGTGCCTGGGATTGTACCCCCAGCCCGGGTTGGACAAGGGGGAGTTTAGTTACAAACCCAGCAGGGCGACCTGTGGGGAAGGTAAAGTGTGTGTCCCCCCGCCACGGGGGCTTCAGCCCCCGCTGCTTTCACGACAGGGATGCTTGTGCGCATCCCTCTGCGTGCGGAGAGGAAAGGGGGGCGCAGCCTTTCCCCTTTCGCCCCCCGCTTCCCCCCACAGCTTCCTCTCCCGCGCAATGGGGATGAAGAAGCCAAAAGCCCTACCTGTGCTTGACCGTGCTTTCGGTCGCGATTTACACCCGAACCCGGTAGGCGATCCTCCTAAGAGGCTACTGGGGGGAAAAAGTCCAGAGCCATATTCTGGGACATACGGTGGGTAGGTAGTGATGGGGTGATGAGCGGAGGAGGTGGCTCCTCCTAAAGAGGCCATGCTGCTCCGAGAGTGAGAGGACTCCAGCTTCATGGTATCGGCCAGGGACACCTGGTATTTGATGCATTCCTTCTCGTCCTGCCGGGTGGAGCCGGTGGAGCCGGGGGTGGAGATGGACGGATCCGGGGACACATCTTTAGGAGGGGTCGGTGGGAAGGTGAAAAGGTGCGGGCTGGAGTGGCCGGCGGATAAAGTGGAAGAGGAGGCGGGCGGGCAGACGGAAAGGGGTCCCGGTGAGCTGTGATGAATGGAGGTCTTGGAGAAAGGGCTGAGGTTCCAGGGGGAAGCGCTGTGGTGGCTGCTCAGCGCCTTGCTCCCGTCCAGCCAGGGCAGCGAGCCGTGCAGCAGCGGGGGGCGGCACACCTGGCTCCCTGCTCGGAGAAAGCACAGCGAAAGGCCGGTTACACTCCCTTTGCCACCCTGGCAAGCCCCCCGGGGGGGGGGGGGTGCCGGGCTGTACCCCCCTCTCCCTCTTTCCCAAAGGGCTCAGCATGTGGGGGGGAGCGAGCAAAATTACATCTGACGCAAATGCCCACTCCCCTTCAAAAATTAAAATTTAAAAGCTGCAATAGCCTGAGGTGGCAGCCCCGATCCTGCTCAGGACCGGGTCTCCGGGTCGGGACCCCCCCCCGAGCAGGGTGGGCAGCCCTGGGACATGGAATTTGGCGAGCCCTGCTTCACGCTCTCCCTTTTCCAGACAATCCCACGCGGACTTTGAAGCGAAGATCCTGCGTGAAATTGCCGAGCCCCGACTGCAGAAATCTTTTCTTTTTTTTTTTTTTTTCTTAGCTGGAAAATAATTTCCCGAATGCAGCCGTGGGCTATAAACCCTGGGAATATTCTGGCCAAACGAAGAAGACCAGAAGATGCAGAAATCTTTTCTTTTTTTTTTTTTTTTTCTTAGCTGGAAAATAATTTCCCGAATGCAGCCGTGGGCTATAAACCCTGGGAATATTCTGGCCAAACGAAGAAGACCAGAAGATGCCCACAGACGTGATAATAACCTTTCCAACAGAGCTGCTAAACGCTGCAAACCGCCTAGATTGTCTTTTTTTTCTTCCACGAGGCTGCACATAAATGTTAGACAGCTTTTTCGTGGCGATATGGCACACGCAGAGAGTACCAACTGTCTCAGAAGGAACTCTCCATCCCCTTCTTACGACAAGAGACCCTTCACTTGTATTTTAAAATTCAGACCTGGACTTTGCAAAAAAAAAACAAACCAAAACGCTGGATTTGCACGGTCAAACCTTGTTTTCTTTGGTTATAAATGCTCTTAAGGGATGGTACCTAATATTTTAAATTAATCTCTGCCCTTTGTCAAAAATATATACATATCTCCAAAGAATCAAATCTACCCAAATCCATAGCAACTTGAACACATCACGATAAGCTGAAAAGCACAGTTATTCAACTGGAGGAGAGCAAGTTTGTGCCTGCTAGTAAAGCCCTGGAAAGGTATTGACATCTAGAGAGCCTTAACCTCTGTAGGTATCGTGATACGTGTATAGAGACTGCTAAATATACAGAAGGAGAGATGCAAACACAGATCTATAGAGCCACAGAGAGTTAAAGAACTGGTGCAGTGTGGACACGTATGTTTGCATGGGAGCTTGTGTGTGTCTAGAAAATCTCCAGGCTAGTTTTCATCGCACCAGACGTATGTGAACAATACTGAAAGTAACTGCTCGAAAGGAAGGGAAGGTGGGTTATACGAATAGAAAGGGTCAAGATTCATTATCTTCTCCAGGAAGTAGCATAGTAAATAATATTCAGGCTAGATCAGAGAGACCGCATTTCCACTTTCTGCTGATATATTGGAAAAAAGAAATGAAAAGAAAAGAAAGAAAGGACAAAGGCTGCTGATCCTTAGAAATAATTGTTTTAAAGGGACTAATAGCAGAACAATGCAGTTACTGAGGGGAGCCTAATGCAGACTCACACTCAACAAGTAGCTGAGGGCTGGGAGCAGCCCCCTGAACCCGGCTCGACTCCATCTCCACTCGCGTGTCCCACTTTCTTCTCCTTGATTTTGGGGTGATTTCCACTGCAAACCTGGGGCTTTTTAGATTTTGCTACTACAGAGGTCACTGTCCGGCTTCACAAATCAGCATCTGCTTTTTTTCCCTCTTTTTTTTTATTTTTCTCTTTTCCCTATTTTTTAACCACACAGGTGAACTCCAGCTATAGATACTGGATCACTCCGATTCTTCATAAAAAGATGGCACCAAAACACTCATCCCCCCGCAGACCTGGGCCGCATCGGCCCCAGGTATTTCACCTCCTCTCTAAAAGCTGTGACCCGGGGACAAAATTCACATTGTGGATCACGACCTTCCTGCAGGACCCATAGGAAAACACAGCAGGTCCGATACCTAATTACACCACGGGATTTCTTTCTTTTTTTTTTCTTTTTTTCTTTCTTTCTTTCTCATTTTTAACACACGCCGTGGTGCGGCCCTGGATGCATGTGCAAAACTTTCGACCCAAGCCTAACAAGCTCACCAAGTGCGAATGAAATAGCCCAAGCGTGAGGACAGCAGGGTCATTTTCACACCCCTGCTCTCCAGCTTGCTTTTCTTCTCCAGAGCAGCTTAATCGTGCAAAAACTACACACCGTATGAAAACCCTAACTGTTAACCTAATTAAAGAGAGGGAGGGAAACCAAAGCGAAAGAGAGAAGGAAAGAGGAAGAAAACAAGAGAAAGATGAAAGGGAAAGAAAGAGAAAGAAGGTGAGCGAGAGAGGGGCGGAAAGGGAGAGAGGATAGAGAGGGGAGAGAGATAAGAGAGGAAAGAAAGAGAGCAAGAGAAAGAGAGAAAGAAGTATAAAGAAAGAAAGATACAGAGAAAGAAAGAAAGAAAGAAATAGAGAAAGAAAGACAGAAAGGCAGGAGGCCTGGATTTTGATTTATTTCCAATAAGCCAACCCCAAAATCCACCCGTGATGTGGTCTCGCCGCCGGCAGGAGAGCTGCCGGGGTCTGCCCGACGGCAGCCGGGCCGGCGGGACTCGGGGCAGCACGGAGCCGCCGGGGCCGGGACAGGGGGCGGAGGGGCCGGGACCGAGACCGCCCCGTGGGAGCCGGGGTCTCGGTGGGCGCACTCACCGTGGTGGGCCGTGGGGTATCTCTGCACGGTGGCTCTCACGGAGTTGCCGTAATACGGAGGGACGGGGTTGCCTTGTCCGTCGATATTAAAAAGTACATCGGGGGGGGGGGGGGGGGGGGGGGGGGGGGG